AGGTTGTGGGTGGGTGAAGGGGAGAGAGTGCTGGGCCCGCGCGCGCGGGGGGGGGGATGTGCACTCCCAGCATGCCAGTGCAAGCGGTGCACCTGGCTGAGTGAGAGACACAGGTGCAGCTGGGCCTCAGGGTAGTAGGGAGGAGTCCTGGGCCTTGGGTGAAAGCCCTGGGCCCTGTGGAGAGCCCTGGGATGTGGAGCTGCTGACCCCTGACCCAGGCCCCTGACCCATTTCGTCCATGTCCCCTAGTCCTCTGTCCCCTCACCCACCCTGTCCGAGGCTGCTCACCCATCCAGTCCGTGGCCCCCTTTGCCCTCTAGGACACCGCGTGGGCTGTGTGGCCCTGCGCGGTCGGGAAAAGGACAGCTACGTGGTGGCCGCTGGCACCCGCCTGGGCCTCCTGGACTGGGATTCGCAGCAGGTTACATGGGTGGCACAGCTGGACAGACACAGGCCACACAACCGGTTCAACGATGGCAAGGCTGACCCCGCGGGGAGGTTCGTGGCAGGTGGGCACCGAAGGGACTATGGCCACATGGTCACGAAGGTTGTGGTGGGGTTGGGGTGTGGAGGGCTCCGAATCCAGGTGCTTCTCCATGGAGATCGGGATCCAGTTGCCCTGCCCCGCCCTCTCCCCCTTCCTATCCTCCCACCTCTTGGGCAAACACACCCAACTCCCGCTGAGATCTCGGGAACACCCAGTCACCCAGACGGATCCCAGAGCTCAGTATCCCAGGACTTACCAGGGCTCAGTACCCCAAGGCTCACTAGACCAGGGCTCAGTACCCCAAGGCTCAGTACCGCAGGACTCAGTACCTCAAGGTTCAGGATACCAGGGCTCAGTTCCCCAAGGCTTAGTACTGCATTCAGTACACCAGGGCTCAGTAGCGACAGACTTGCAGACTAGAGCCGGAGAGGGACACCTGAGTGTCAATAAGGGCCCCGCCCACGTGCCCGGAACTGAGAAGGAAACATTGGGCGCAGAGTTGGGGTCACGACCCCCCACCGGCCCGGGGAAGGTGCTTCTCGCACGTTCCAGCTCCCAGTGCCCATGCTGTACTTGGCTGGTGGCCCTGGCCCTCCATCTCTGAGGTCTCCTCTGCTGTCTGTCACGTCATTGTCACCCAGAGTGCATGGGGGGGAGGGCATTCAAAGGTTTATGCCTTCTGCTCTCTGCCCCCTGCAGGCACCATGCCTGAGCCCTCTGCACCTGGTGTCTGGGAGCCGGCCCAGGGCTCGTTGTACTCACTGCAGGGGAACCACTCGGTGCTGTGCCTGGCCGACCGGCTTGGCATCCCCAACGGGCTGGACTGGTCTGCTGACCACCGCACCTTCTACCACGTCGACAGCCTGGACTACGCGGTGCACGCGTATGACTATGACATGCAGGCCGGCACCATCAGTGAGCGCAGAGCCCATGCGGGACTCACTGGGGAGACAGACCTGGGGACAGACCGTGGGACTCAGGGAACAAATCACAGAACTCGGGGTACAGATCGCGGGATTTGGGGTACAGATCGCAGGACTCGAGGACAGACCACGGGACTCGACTCGGGGACAGGCTGACGCGAGGGGCGACGTCACCTGAGGACAGACAGGTGTCCCTGTGTCCGTGTGTCCATGGCCCCAGGCAGTCCTGTAAAGAGGCCTCTCTTTCCCTGAGCGGCCTTGCGTGTCCCTGTCTCACAGAGAACCGCCGACTCGTGTACCAGCTGCCGCGGGGTCGGGCCATGCCCGATGGTCTTTGTGTAGACAGTGCAGGGACACTGTGGGTGGCCTGTATCGATGGTGGCAAGGTCATTCAAGTGGACCCGCAGACAGGTGCGTGATGTCAGGGCCATACAGTCCTGAAATGTCACGGTGTGTGATCCAGTGCTTTGCAGGCAATGTGTGTTTCTGGGTGTGGTGGGGTCACATGCTTGGGTCTTTGGCGTGGCGGCGTCACTGTGTGTAAACTTTGGACGTGGCAGGGTCAGGGTGCAAGGTTCAGATAAGACACGTCCGACTCTCCATCCTGAGTGGGAGTGTAGGGTGAGGACGTCAGGGTTACCAGCCCCCACGGACCTGGTAGCCCCTTTCTGTCTGATGAGCTCCATGGGCTCGAGATGTCCTAGGTTTGCGACCTTTTCCCTGAGATCTTCCACTCTTACCCTCTTGAGGATTTGGGGGATTATGGGCAGCTGCATGGAAGGGGCAGTGAAAACGGAGGGTGGTGGAGAGGGGGCGAGGGCGAGGTAAAGATGGATGAAGATGGGGAGAGACAGTGAAGACGGAGGCGGGGGAGGAGCGTGAGGGAGGGGACGATGAAGAGGGAGGTGAAGTAGAGCAGCAGCGAAGAGGTGAGGGCTCGGCGGGGCTGTCCGGGTGCCAGGGAGCGAGCATTGCCGGTGACCCGGGTCCTCCCTCTGCTTGCTTGCTTGCATGCTTGCTTGCTTACTTGCTTGCTTGCTTGCTTGCTTGCTTGCTTGCAGCGGTGCCCGCGCTGTGAACCTGTCTGTGTGTGTATGGGGGCAAAGAAGACAGGGTGGGAGTGAGGTGGGAGGGCAGAGGGACAAGGGGCTGATCTGGAGCATAACGGCCGACCTGGGTCCTCCCTCTGCCCACAGGCTTCTGTCTGCGCACCCTGGACCTGCCCGTGTCCAGGGTCACATCCTGCTGCTTCGGGGGCCCCGACTATACAGAACTGTACGTGACTTCGGCGGCAGATGGGCTGAGCCCCGAGCAGCTGCAGCGGGAGCCCCAGGCGGGACACGTGTTCAAGGTGAGGGCGAGCTGCGTAGGAGCAAAACCCGTACGTAGGGAAGCCCCATGGGAAGGGAGCCCTGTGGGAGGGCAGAGAGAGAGCCTGTCACGGAGGGGGAGGGTCTTGTGTCGTATATGTCCCCATAGCTGCAGCGGGTGGGTGTCCCGACCCACATGTCCTCTGACCTGACCTCCGACTTCTGCTCAGTACCGACCGTCCCCGTCCCTTGCAGGTCTCGGGCCTGGGCATTTGTGGACGTCCATGCTTTCCCTTCGTGGGCTGAGGTCGCATGCACGTGCAAATGTGCCTCCCAGAACGGTTCGAAAGGCGCCTGTTGTTCCAACGCAGGGTGACTCGCTCACCAAGCACTGCAACCTCAGTGTAACCTTCCGGAATCGACACCTCCTCCCCTTCATAACCTTAAATGCTGCTGTAATGTAAACTGACATGTGTGTTTGTGCTCATGTTCATGTGGGTGGGGAAGTGGGGTCACAGGTGGCCGCGGGTCCTGGCTGCCAACTCTGTAATGCGTGGCGATGCACGCGGACTCTGTCACATGCAAAGCCCTTGTATGACCTGCCCACTGGTGCACTCACTCAGGCTGAGGTGTGGCCGCCCTGGCCTATGCACACAGGTAGGCAGGAGACCCACACGTCTTCACGCAGGTCTGTAGGGTATGGGCGGGAGCGTCAAATGAGCAGCAGCCTGGAACCTCATCTGAACCTCCTGCACGCTCACACATTACACGCATATGCTCACATACACACAGACAAGTTTACAAGTACATGCATACACGGGCACACATGGGCTTGTGCAAGCAGACATAAACTCTTACATAGATACTCTCATCCGTGCACACACACAAGCACGCACAGGCATGCACACATGCAGACACATTATACATGCACATAGGCGCTTGTACACATGTCCGCTTTCCCAGGCGCCCACATTCACACTCTCATGTGCACACACCCAGACTCACCTGTCCCATGGTGAACAGAAGTTCTGGGCTAGGGTCACCTGTGTCTGTGGCCCTCACTTGGGTGTCACGCTAGTGGAACAGGCCTTCCTCCGTCCCGCTTTTCCCTTCCTCTCCCTCTCTGCTCCCTCCCTGGCTCCCACCTCACTCTCAAGGAGCCTTTGTTAATCCCACATGCTACAGTCTCAATTATGTTTATGGCCCTGCATGTCCTAATTACAGCACAAAAGAGAAATCAGCGTAAATCACTCATGTCACGCCCACGAGTCCATGTGTCAAGGCCTGACCTGGATTCTAGGCTGAAGTGATTGAGCCATTAGCAACTTCATGGTTTCCCTGTAAACCTTGGGACAGGGCCACTTAGCCTGTCTTGAAATGCAGCCCATGGGGTCCAGCAGCTGTGTCATGGGGGAGGGGAGGGAACACGGGTGTCATGGGGCGTCTCTCACCCAAGGGGCAGCTGTCAGGTATTACACGTATTTCTGGTGATTGACCCCTGCAGAGCAGGATCCTTGTGTTTAGACTTGGAGCTCCCACTTCTTTGCTGAATAATTAGAAGAATTTTACAGTTGGAAGAAAAACATAGAGAAATTTGTCAGTTTCACAGTAGCAAAACACATCCAAGTGGTGTAGGGAGGGGTGCAGGGAGGGGTGTAAGGTACAGGGAGGAATGCAGAGAGGGATATAGGGAGTGGTGTGGAGAGGGGTGTAGGGTACAGGGAGAGGTATGGGAGGGATATAGGGTGCAGGGACAGGGTGTACAAAGCAGAAGTGAACTGGCCTCACCCCAACATGCCCCTTCTGTCCCTGGGGGTTTCACAATCCTGACCAGACAGGAATAGACTTAGGTGGGTCCTTCCTGTTCTGCCGGTTCAGGGCAGTTCGGATACTCAGCAAGGTGACACAGAGTACACAGGAGAGTACTCAGAAGGGTACTCAGCACAGTGAGGCAGTCAGTACCCAGGAGGACTTAGATACCCGCATTGCACAGCTCTTCAGTCTTTTTACTTTTCAGTCAGCATTTACTACCTGTGATGTGTTGTGCATCTGATTAAACAGGGCTGGGAAGCCCGTGCTGGGGGAGACTCTTGTGCAGTGGGAGGTCCATGCTGTGGGCTGTGGAGGAGACTCTTACTGTGGTAGGGAGTCCCATCTGTGGAGGAACTGATTGGCTTCAGTCTAGGGAACTTCCCACTCTGCTGTTATCCATCTTTGGGCCTAGGACAAAATTGAGTTAGTTTTGTCCCTTCCAGTGTGGTGGGGAGACCCTGGCTGTGCAGAGAGACTCTTGCTTTGGTGGGGAGATCCCTGCTGTTGGGGGGAGGGGACTCTTCCGCACAATGGACAGAACTGCTGCTTCACAGTCACGTGGGGCAGTTTCAGCCCCCCCCCCCACACACACATTTCAAGTTTACCATGGGCAGACCCTTGGTCCCACCCTGTGCTCCTGTGACCCCTTGATGTCCCTGGGCTGTGGGGACAACAAGCAACCTCCTTCTCTCCCTTCCTCTCCCCTCCCCCTGGACTTGGCAAGCAGGCAACCTCAGTCCCCTTCTAGGGTCAGGGTGAGGTCACCCGAGGGCAGCAAGATGAGGTACCACCCTACAGGACCATAGAACACATGGAACAGGGTCATTGATGTGTTCTGAATGTTTTAAAAGCACCTAGGAGGAGCCCCTCAGGGATACCCTGACCTGTTCTGAATGTTCTAAGAGCAGCTAGGGGGCGCCCCTCAGGGACACCCATGAAGTGTTCTGGAGGTTCTAAGAGCACCTTGGGGTAGCCCTTCAGTGATACCCGTGGTGTGTGCTGGATGTTCTAAACCTGTATGTGGGTGGGTGGGGCAGGGGGCGCAGGTGGAGCCCGATCCTAGGACCTGCTGCACATACAGCACAGACACCCATTTGTCCGACGGGGAGGGGGGTGACTGTGGCCATGAGACCAGAAGTTTGAAACCAAGACCATGGAAATTTGGGGTGGAGAAAGCCAGGAGAGGGGAGGGCAGAAAACAGGAGGGGAGGGATAGGGAGGACAGGGAATGGAAGGGGAGGAGAGAGGATGGAAGGGCAGATTGAGTTGTGCTCAGCAACGTCCCTGAAGAAGCTGTTGGAAGAGGCCCTGACCGTGGGTGTGTTGAGGATGCAGTGGTTCCTGAACAGAGAGGCAGATCCAGCCAGTGTCACATCACATGGAAGGAGGAGCAGGGCCAAAGTGCAGATGAAACACCCACAAAGCAGTTGGGATTGCAACACTGGCAGTTTGTTCCCTGGGGCTGCTGGGTCAGCGCCCAGCAGGTCTCCCCGCCTCATGTCCCTCGTTGTCCCTATCACTCCTTAAGGCAGCCTGTGTGGCCATCCCTTGCTCACCTTTACCTCCTCCGTACAAGCGCCTCCCCAGGCCCCGCCATCCTCACCCCTCCCTCCAGATGTGCCGGTCACTGACTGCGGGTGGCTGGGGACTAGCCTGTACCCAGTGCAGAGCTTGGTGAGTGACAAGTGACACAGGGTGTCCTGAGGACACTGGCTGCCATGCCTTGATCATCCCCCATTCCTGGGGTCTTCCCCTGACTTGGTGTCCCCCAGTTACTTCGGTATCCCCGAAACTGCCTCTGTGCCCCCAAACGGCCTCAATGCTCCCCCACTTACTCGGTGTCCCCCCCTCGCTACATCCGTATCTCCCAACTACCTTGGCGTCCCGTCTGCTGCTTCCGGTCCCCCAACATAGAAAGTATGTCCACCCGCGGCTACCTCAATGTTCCCCACCCCCACCCCCGCCTTTGTGTTCCCCCTTCTGGGGGTCTCCCGCCTGCAACGTGTCCCCTAGTTAAGTTGTCACCTAACTGTCCACATGTCCCCTTCTACCTCCCTGTACCCCCGCCCCCACTGCCTCCGGGTCCCCCCCCCGGTGGCTCGGTGGTGCCCCCCCCCCCCATTATCCCCATGTGCCTCAATGTTCTTCCTGGCTGCCTTCTGTCATGCAAACTGCCTCGGTGGGGTTCCTCCTTCTGGTTACCCTGGTGTCCTCCTGCCTGCATCTGATTCAGTGTCCCTCCAGTTGCTCTGTGTCCCCTGACTACTCAGTGCTCCCCCACACACTCCGCATCGTGCCCCCAAGCCCCGGCTGCCTCTGTCCCCTTCTGTATCTCAGACACCGGCCTTGTAGGGCCTCCGAGTGGTTGCATACCCAGTGGAGTCAGCTCCATCCAGGCCATACCAGCTCCTCTGGGAGCTCTATCCTCCATCTGGGGTAGGAAGACTAGCTGGTTCAGTCGCCTGTACAACCCCCAAGCCCGAGGAGCCAGCTCACCAGACAGACAGGAGCTGAAGGAGTGGGAGTGAGGGGTGGGTATCCACAGCTCAGGGCAGAAGAATGCAGGGACCTTCCCTTCACACAGAAGGCACACAACTATGTCCTGACTGCGTGTTGTCACCGCGGCTACGCTGTGCACAAAGTAGGCTACAGCCCCGAGGGATCATTCCTGCACACAGTAGGCACACAAACATGTCCTGAGTGTGCATATCGTCATCACGGCAGCCACACCCTCGCGGGGACCCACCAGCCTGGTGTCCTCTTTCAAGTCTATTCTGCTAGTGAAGATCCAGCGAGGGCAAGGACAGCCCTCAGGTCAGTGACTGAGTGGACAGGCCGGGGGAGAGGATGGGGGAAGGGGACACGGGGAAAGGTATTACATGTGAGAGAGCAGGAATTCTGTGATCCAGCGAGCCACATGGGGGGCTTCCCGGGATACAGGAGGTCCAACCCCACCTCCAAATGTCACATGTCCACAGTGGATGTCCTGTGTCCTGTGCTTGACGGTTCTGCCCACAAAAGAGGGCACAGGGACCTTTAGTGAGGGGGGCACGGGGGGGGGGGGGGGAAGAGTTCAGCCTTTAGTGCCCTACCTGGTAAACTGAGACAGGGCGGGTGGGGGCGGTACAGCCTGTACAGTGTGACATTTCCTTCTACAGAAGGGAAACTGAGGAGCAGCTCAACCTGGCTCACACACACTTGCCCTGTTGCCCTGAAGCTGGGACACTATGGATGGCCAGCCAAGCTACAGCCACGCAGATTGGATGTCACAATTGTGCCCGCGATTGTGGGATGTCCCCCTGCACCACCTGTCCATCCCAGGTAAGGGCAGGCCTCGCGGGAGGGATGGGGAGGGTAAGGAAAGGCCACACGGGGAGGGGCGGTCCCACGGGGGTGGGGGGGTGGGGGACCTGGGAGTAAGGGCGGACCCACGCAGGCTGGATCTGGAGGCCGACATCAGGACAGGAAAGAGAAGAAGGAGGATGACATCAGGACGGGAAAGAGGACCGCGAGATGAGGTCTTCACGCGTGGATGTTGACACACAGGGGTCTGGGCGATGCTCCACTCTCAGGGCGAGCTTCTGTGTCCGTGCGGTGTCCTTCATAGCGCGAATGGAGCACGTGTGGGTGTTTGGAAGCCTTTGGGTCCTCAGAGATTCAGACAAGCAGTTCTGGAGGCAAGAATCACGCGCTTGTGCCCCACGACAGGAGGGGTAGCCCCAGTGAAGTTTCTAGGAGGGTTGAAAGGAGCTGGGGGGGACAACGTGAGCGGGACACTGGAAGCCTGGGTTGTCAGAAACGAGGTCCTATGACCTGCGTGGGTGAAGAGGGGTCGTGGAGGACAGACAAACAGAAAGACAGCCCTCGAGGGACTCCGCGCAGTCCTTAGGATGAGCACAAGAGTGCTTGGGCTTTGAAGTGCGTCTGTCCTCAGGGAGCCATGACACCATGACGTACTGCCTGAGCCGGAAGTCCCCAATCTCCGTGTCAGGGTCTCGACTGCTGCACTTACTGGGGCGGGTCGCGCCCTGCATTATGGGGCCCATGGTGTTGAGATGGTCAGTCACACAGGTGAGTGGGGAGTGAGGGAGGGCCCAGGCAGTATGTGATGGACAGGGCAAAGGGGGATAGGGTGGGGAATGGAATGGAACTGAGTCCCGGTGGCGGGATTAGGGTCCTGGTGTTGGGCAGGAAGTGGGGAGGGAACTGAGAGCCCCTGGGGCAGGTGATAGATAGTCAGGGGGAGGGGACTGTGAGTCTCGGGGTGCTGTCCAAGTTTTTGGGTGTCCTGGGGTTCTATGCACGGTGGTCACGATGACACCCCGGGAACGAACCCTGACCCGCCATCTGCCCCAGACCCTGGACGTGAAGCAGCAGCTGGACACAGGGGTGAGGTACCTGGATCTGCGAATTGCGCACATGCAGGGCGGCTCTGAGAAGAATCTGCACTTTGAACACATGATCTACACCACTGCGTTGGTGGAGGTGGGGGTGAAGACCAGGAGAAGGGGGAGTTGGGGGAGGGGCGGAGACTCATGTATGTCATCATGTGTCCCTTTGACATCCACAGGACACCCTCACAGAGATCTCCGAGTGGCTGGAGTCACACCCCCATGAGGTCATCATCCTGGCCTGCAGAAACTTTGAGGGGATGACAAGAGACTTGCATGAGTACCTCATAGACTGCATCAAGAACATCTTTGGGAACACGCTGTGTCCACGCGGGGTGAGAAGGAGGATTGTGAGGATTGTGGGGGTCAGGGTGAGGAAGGCGTGGGCACGTGGGGGTCGGGTGAAGAGGGCATGGGAAGGTGATATCATGGTGAAGACGGCATGGGCACATGAGGTAAGGAATCCGTGGCAGCCCAGGGCATGGGTGTGTGGCCTCGAGGGTGCGTGGGCCCTTAGCTGTCCAATCCTCAGTTTCACTCAACCTGTTCCTCATTCCCATGCAGGACATCCCTACGCTGCGGCAGCTGTGGGCACATGACCAGCAGGTGATTGTGTCCTATGAAGATGAGACCTGTGTGGGTCGCCACCCGGAGCTGTGGCCTGGGATCCCTTACTGGTGGGGGAACCAGGTGAAGTCCCAGGCGCTCCTGCAGTACTTGGAGACCATGAGGAACTGCGGTCGCCCAGGTGCCACCTGGGACATAGCTGGAGGGGCACTGATGTCACCTGTCAGTCAGATAGGGGTGAGGTCTGTGAGGATGTCAACTGTCAGTCTCCTGCTGTGATGTCACCCCACCCTTCCCCCTTCCCCTGCAGGTGGCCTGTTTGTGGCTGGCATCAACCTCACAGAAAACCTGCCCTATGTCCTCTTGCACCCATCCGGGTCCCTGGAGATGCTGACACGGCCCAACCTTCAGTTCCTCATGCCGTGGGTGAGAGCACAGCAGCCAGGGCCCGGATCAGGCTGCACCAACATCATCGCTGGGGACTTCGTTGGCTCCAATAGCTTCGTGGGTGAAGTCATTGGGCTCAACCAGAAGCTGCTGCAGTGACTACAACAACCTGAGGATGGGGTCAGGGTCATGGAGGTCACAGTCAAAGGGATCACGGAGGTCAGGGTCACTGATCTGTCCTGTCATCCCCTAAAAAAACTTGAGGCCTATGTGAGTCAGTCTGTGCCACATCCTGGTCACTTCTGGTCACTAGGACATAAGTACCAGGACATTCTTTGTCATACTCCATTGTCCATGGAGGTCACATGACCTGTCACCTGCATCACCTGGCACTAGATGCCTCTGTTCATTAAAACGTTCAGAAGCCAAACGTGGGCAGCGGTGTGTTTATCTCCTGTAGCCCAGGCTAGACTTTCATGGGGAAATTTTTGCAGCATCTCCCATAGCCCATGCTAGACTCTACCATACCATTTTTACAGTGTCTCTTGTAGCCCAGGCTAGACTCTTATGGGGAAGATGCAGGGGACAGCCTTGGACTCTGATCCTCTGGCCTCAGTTTACACAGGGCTAGAACACTGGGAACCCCAAATCCTAAGCCACAAGTAACATACCCACTGAGCCACATGCACCCAAACACTGAGATATAAGAACCCTACCCACTGAGTTGCATCCCCTCCATGGTGGTAATTCCCACCATCTCATACACAAACGTTACAGGTGACTCATGACCTTGTGACCTCAGTATTAGTGTATTTTCAGGTCAGAGGGTTAAAAGGCCTCCTTACCCTACCCTAACCCCCTGAAGTTAGATCCCTCCCACCCACTCAGCCTGCAGGGATGCTGCTGTGAAGTCTGTAGCTGAGAGGATGGACCTGTGTACCCATGAGGCCCAACCTGGCTAGGGGAGTGAGATGTGGCTTCAGGTGTGTCTGTCCATCTCCCTCGGGGACCCTCCTGGCACCACTGTTTCCCAGGGTGGCATCCCACAGTGTCCTGCAGCTGCCCCATCCCAGAACATGGAAGGGCAGAACAGAGGGGGTGGGGAGGAAGAGCTGTGGGGGGAGCAGTGTTCAGTCCTCCTGCCCTGGATCAGCCACAGAACCATTTTCAAACTATCCCTATCCCTCCCTTCCCATTTCCCAGCAACACGAACCCTTCCCTCCCCTTCCCCAGTAATACAGAACCCTACATAGCCCACATATCACCAGCTAAAGAGAGAGAACAAAGTGCAAACCCTGCTCTAATGAGCTGCCAGTCAATCTGCCAGGACTATGGGATATGCCCTCCCATATCAGGTCCTCAGTCCATTTATGCAGTTGTCACTTAGGAATCAGCTGGGAGGAAGGGGCAGAACTACATGGGGCCATCCACAAACACCCTCCCAAGAGAGGAATCCACATCTGGTCCTGGCTGTCACTCAGGGAACAGCTGGGAGGGAGAAAGTGGCGGGACAACACCATGGCCACAAGTTGTATCCACACCTCACTCCAGGCTGTCACTCAGGAAACAACTTATGGAAACGGCCATAGGTGGCTTGGCTGATGATAATGGTCATGTAGACGGTGTCAGTCTTGGGAAGCTCCTGCACTTGCTGCACCTTGGCCTCCTTGTACTATCAGTTGCATAGAGACCACCGTGGTGCATGCTGGGAAGTGTGCTGATGCCGCATGGTGTGTGGTGATGGGCAGACGGTGGTGCAGGCTGAGAAGTCAAGTTGACATCAGCATCTTGCAGGGTGGTAAGTAGTGCTGACAAGTGGGGACACAGCGCCATCTGTGAGGAGCATGATGGGAAATGTGCTGACATAAGCATGGTGCATGCTGGGAAGTGTGTTGACGTCAGCATGGTGCATGCTGGGAAGCATGTTGATAGCAGGGCATGTCCACAGCGGGGAACCAGCTGCATATCTGTGTGTGACAGCCCACCGCCCAAGCACCCTGTGACTCACCAGAGCTGGGGTCCCCCAAGCTGTAAACAGAGGGTGAGCACCCGCTAGCCAGTGGCCTGCAGAACAGACTCCTCCAGCATCGCCTTCAGCTTGTCTAGCCCATGGCCCAGGAGTGCAGACACGGCCAGGATGCAGGGCCCTGGAAGGCTGTACCTATGTGGAAGAGGCTCAGTGGGTAAGAGGAACCATGGGGTTATGTGGACAAGTGTGGCGTAGATAGGTGAGTTGAGGACAGGTGCAGTGTGCACAGGTGCGGTGAGGACAGGTGCAGTGAGCACAGCTGCGGTGAGGGCAGGTGAGGTGAGGACAGCTGCGGGGAGGGCAGGTGAGGTGAGGTGAGGACAGCTGCAGTGAGCACAGCTGCGGTGAGGGCAGCTGCAGTCAGGAGAGATGAGATGAGGTGAGATGAGGTGAGGTGAGGTGAGAACAGATGCAGCAAGGACAAGTGAGGTAAAGACAGCTGTGATGAAGACAGCTGTAGTGAGGGCAGCTGCAGTGAGCAGAGCTTCAGTGAGGACAGCTGCAGTTAGGACAGATGCAGTAACGAGAGGTGCAGTGAGGACAGGTGCAGCGAGGACAGGTGTGGTGAGGACAGGTGCAGTGAAGACACCATGAAGATTCCTGCAGTGTAAACAGTGACACACATGCCTCCCCCTGCCCCACTTACCCGGGAAACAGATCCATCTTGTTGTGAACTTCCAACATGGAGTTCAAGAGAGCAGGCAGCAGCTGTAGTGTAGACAAGACACTGGCCTCTGTTGTTCCATGTTGGGGTGGCTCGCATGCAGGATATCATCCTGTGAGGGGGAGAAGCAGTCAGGGGCTGGAAGTGTCATAGGGAGGGGTGGCAGGGGACAGGAAGTGTTAGCCCGAGAAACACCAAGGATACCAAGTCCATATGGAGGGCAGATCCTAGGACAGCTGGCCTGCGCAAAAGGCGGATCCAAGTAGACCAATCCACGCAGAAACATGGATACCCACCAAATGCACCACGTCCTCCAGCATGGTGAACAACTGGATCAGGCTGTGTGGCAGCTGTGACAGAAAGCCATGTACATGATGGGCATGCACAATGTCAGCAACCCCACGTGTGCCATGACATCTAGGGTTGTGAACAGATGATCACACAGTTGCATGGTAGCCTCCCAGGTCAGGGCCTTGATGAGCGTAGTTTTCCCTGGAGGGGACATGATGATGTGAGAATGGGAAATGCACACTGCACCCTGGGGACCCTCCCACACATGCGCTGTGCTGAGATGCAGGTGATTGCACTCCAGGGACCCTTCCACATGTACCCTGTGCCAAGATGTGGGTCCTGCACCCTGGGGACCCTCCCACATGTGCCCTTGTCCTGAGATGTGGGACTGCACCCCATGGACCCACCTATGCATACCCAGTGCTGAGATGTAGTATTGCTGCTTAGGGACCCTCACCGCAGTTGGTGTAGCCAACAACAAACACAATGGGGAACTTGTGCTAGCACACTCTGCTTTAGCGCGCCCTGATCTTTGCCTCCTTCTCCTTCAGTGGCCATTGGCACACTCTGTGGATGACTCCCCTGTGCACACAGACATGCAAACCTTTATGTAGAAGCCAGGTGCCAGTGGTCCCAGGGGTGTGAGTACCAAGGGACCAAGGTGAAAGGGGTACTCTGTGGGTGACCCCACCACATGTAGCTGGTATTCCCCACTGGATACCATGTAACTGGTGTTACCCTTATAATAACTGGGAAACCCTGCAGCTGGTTGGCTGGTGTTCCCACTGCCTTGGACTGTGTTCCCCACTGGAGGCCATGTGACATCCCCACCTGACCCCATGATGTACCGTAAGACCCTTCCTTGCTGGTCCAGTCAGGCAGAACCGCTGCTCAGGGTAGACCTGGGATGGAAATACACGCTTATTTATTATTAAGTAGGTGTCACTTAGTGAGTGTTGGCACTCAGGTCCTCAGGTCAGGGCCAAGCCCTCCTAGGGCACAGTGGACAGTATAGGTTGTTAACCACCAAGGGGTATGCAGCTGGTGTCTCTGTATGAAAGGGGATGTGGGAGTGAGGAGGAGGTGTGGGGTAAGGAGAGGTGTGGGATGAAGGTGAGTGTGTTGTCTGGGTTTCTTTCCTGCCGGGTTTCTCTCCTTTCACCAAGTCCCACAACCATTTAGCCCCAAAGAAAATCACACAGAGGTCTATATTAATGATAAACTGATTGGCCCATTAGCTCAGGCTTCTTATTAACTCTTATAACGTATATTAGCCCATAATTCTAGTATATGTTAGCCATGTGGCTCAGTACTTTTTTCAGTGGGGCAGGTCACATCTTGCTTCTTCGGTATCTAGACTGGACTCCAGAGAGAGTTTCCCTCTTCCCAGAATTCTTCTGTTCTCATTGACCCGCCTCTACTTCCTGTCTGGTTGACCCGCCTATACTTCCTGCCTGGCTATTGGCCAATCAGCGTTTATTTAAAACACAATTGACAGAATATAGATAATTGTCCTGCACCAAGTGTGGGGTGACCTGCCTGATCAGGGGTTGTAATGATTTCAGCCACAAAAGGCTGATACTTCCGGGTTCTAGGGGTCATGCAGCTGCAGACAAGCCCTCAGGCAGAAGTACCTAATGGACCCCGGGTATGTGAAAGGGCCTCGCATGATCCACATATGACTCAGCTAAGCCCTTGTACACATGTGTGAGCCAACTCAACCTCCTATGTGCATGTGCTAGGCAGCTTTTAAAAACTGGACGCACCATCTTCCTCCCTTTCTCTATACACTGATTTCCCAGGTTTTTGCATGCCCCCTCTAATAAACTCCTCAGCAAGTTTGTTGCATGTTCCATGTTTCCTTCTCATTTTCACCAGGTAATTTCATTGGTGCCATGAAACTCAGGAGGCTCTCCCACACCAAGCCCCTCTCCCGGGGTCAGGATCTGGAACAGGGTATTTTTTTCCACAACAACCATATGTTTCATATGCCTGAGCACAATTTCTCTGCACACCACCAACTTCAATTGATGAGTTTCCCCCATTCTGGTCAGCTTAACCATTTCTTCAAAACAAAGGAATTTACTGTTGAGCTTCCAGAAATCTGGTATTCCTAGAAATGGGGTTACAGTCCCCAACCACAGTTGAGCCCTTTGCTGAGATTCATCTCTAAATTGCTTAATTTTAGCTAAATTCCTTAGCTAAAATCATGTTTGGATGGCCTAGGGTCAGTCTTCCTGCGGCTGGAAGTCCAGGGTCCTTCAGATTCTGCTTTCTCTTTTTTTCTTTTTCTTTCCAGCCGTGAAAGGATGCTCAGTGAGACCTCTGACCTCTCTGGCTTCCAAGTCATCCCAACCGGATCCAGTCAGGCTGTAGCACCCCACCTGTAGGCAGAGGATGCTCTCTACAGGTCCTGTGGTATTTGCCGCCGATTTACACCCCACCTATAAAGGGAGATGTCCTATTATAGGCCTTGTGGTTTCACCTATGGGGAGCAAGCCATCCAAGGACATCAATCCAGCCTCCCCCTGCGATGCCTTTTAGAGACCCTGAAACCAGGCCTTAATGCCCTACTTAGAGATTCCCACACTTGTCCATCTCTGTTTTTTAAAAAAATGGCA